CCCTGGGTCAGGTTTCTCTGGTTCTTATTTGGCTAACCAGGTTGTTGCTACTGGCAATCCCTACGTACATAGGGTGTTTCATACTTCTACTTTACCTCCAAAATATTTATATAAAACTTCTAACAATAAAACTTGCAGCGAGTATAAAAAACAGACTGAAATACACAATATCATGGCGGGAAAAACTCACAAGTAATTTGTACTTAGGAAAGGACCCTTATGACGATGTTTCGGTCCTTCCGCGAAAGAAAAAGAGGTCGGGAGGAAGGAAGGCCTTATAAGAACATAAGATTGGAGGAACACTGCAGAAGGCCTACTGGCCCATGCAAGGCAGGTCCTTATCAAAACGACCTCTACCTAAAGTTTCCCAAGAAATAACTCCCGTACCCAGCAGCAGTAGTAGTAGTAATAGTAGCAGCATTGATAGTACTGAGTACATGTATTGGTGGAGGACTCAACGCAGTACTTGATGAATTTGGCAGGGGAACGGCAGTATAGGCAGACCCCTCTCCCGTTTTGCAGTGTGTGTGTGTGTCCTAACGATAAAATCGACTAACAAAGTATTTTAGCATAAAAATTTGGGCCCGACCAATGATGAAAAAACTTGACTAACACCATTCATCCCGAACGCGTCCACGCAGCCTTGTGGCCTGAGCGTGCCTTAGCTGCCCTGCCTTCACGCATACATTCGGTACATTTTTGTATTCAGTGTTTTAGTGCTTGTAACTGCTAAATAAGCCACCATGGGCCCAAAGAAAGCTTCTAGTGCCAACCCTGTGGTAAAAAAGGTGAGAATTACAATTGAAATGAAGGAGATAATTACATAGTATGAAACTGAAGTGCGTGTCTCCGAACTGGGCAGGTTGTATAACAAACCCCAATCAACCATCGCTACTATCTTGGCCAACAAAGACAATCAAGGAAGCTGTTGTTGCGAAAGGTGAAAGTATGTTTTCAAAACACTGTTACTGGTGTGGATAAACGAAAAACAGATATCAGGAGATAGCATCTCTCAGTCATATGTGAAAAGGCAGGGCAGTTGCATGACGATTTAATTAAAAAAAGGCCTGCAACTAGTGGTGATGTAAGTGAATTTAAGGCCAGCAAAGGTTGGTTTGAGAGATTTAAGAATCGTAGTGGCATACACAGTGTGGTAAAGCATGGTGCAGCTGCCAGTTTGGACCAAAAAGCAGGTGAAAAATATGTGCAGGAATTCAAAGAGTACATAGAGGCTTAAGGATTAAAACCCCAAAAAGTGTTTATTTGTGACAAAACAGGCCTGTTTTGGAAGAAAATGCTAAACAGGACCTACATTACACAGGAGGAAAAAGCACTTCCAGGACACAAGTCTATGAAGGACAGGGTTACTTTAATGTTGTGTAGTAATGCTAGTGGTGATTGCAAAGTGAAGCCTTTACTCGTGTATCACTCTGAAACTCCCAGAGTGTTCAAGAAACACAATGTCGTCAAGGCTAATTTGTGTGTGATGTGGAGAGCAAACAGTAAGGTATGGGTCACTAGGGACATTTCTATGATTGGTTTTGTCATGTGTTTGGCCCCACAGTGAAAAATTACCTCCTGGAAAATAAATTGGACCTTAAGTGCCTCCTGGTATTAGACAATGCTCCTGCTCATCCTTCAGAGTTGCCACAGCGAATTTCAGGGGACCTGAGTTTTATCAAAGTGAAATTCTTGCCTCCTAATACCACTCCTCTCCTCCAGCCTATGGACCAGCAGGTCATTTCAAATTTCAAAAAACTGTACACCAAAGCAATGTTTCAAAAGTGCTTTGAAATGACCTCAGACACTCAATTGACCCTAAGAGACTTTTGGAAAGATCACTTTAGTATCCTCAATTGCATAAACCTTATAGGTAAGGCATGGAAGGGAGTGACTAACAGGACCCTGAACCCTGCTTGGAGAAAATTGTGGCTAGAATGTGTAGAAGAGAGGGATTTTGAAGGGTTTGGGGCTAACCCTGAGAAGCCTATGCCAGCTGTGGAATCTACTGTGGCATTGGGGAAGTCCATGGGGTTGGACGTTAGTGGGGGGGATGTGGAAGAGTTGGTGGAGGACAATGATGAAGAACTAACCACTGATGAGCTGCAAGAGCATCTGCAACAGCAAGAGGACACAACTGAGGAAACTGCTTCAGAGGGGAGAGAGTTATGGAGGAAGTTGCCTTCTTCAAAGATTAAGGAAATTTGTGCAAAGTGGGTTGATGTGCAAACCTTTATGGATGAAAACCATCCTGACACAGCTATTGCAAGCTGTGCTGGTGACTTTTACAATGACAATGTTGTGGCCCATTTTAGGAAAATATTAAAGGAATGCGAGGTACACAGCCCTATGGAAAGATTTTTGGTGTGACAAAGGTCCAATGACTCTCAAGTTGTTCCCAGTGGCATTAAAAAAAGAAAGGAAGTAAGCCCGGAAAAGGACTTGGTACCTAAAGTCCTTATGGAAGGGGATTCCCCTTCCTAAAAAAATACATCTCCATCTCCCCTCCTCCCATCTCATCACTCATCATTACATCTTCAATAAAGGTAAGTGTCACTTATTCTTCATTTAGTACAGTACGTGTATTGATTGTGCATGTATCCTTCTTTTTCTGTGTAGGAAAATGTATATTTCACGTGAAAAAAAAAAATCGTACTTTTGGGTGTCTGGAACGGATTAATTGCATTACCATTATTTCTTATGGGGAAAATTAATTCGACTAACGATAAATTCAACTAACGACAAGCTCTCTGGAACGGATTAATATTGTTGGTTGAGGGTCCACTGTATGTATGTATGTATGTATGTACGTATTACCTGGAGTTTACCTGGAGAGAGTTCCGGGGGTCAACGCCCCCGCGGCCCGGTCTGTGACCAGGCTGTTGCTGCTGGCTGGCTGGCTGCTGTGTGTGTGTGTGTATGTATGTATATACAGTGGACCCCCGCTTAACGATCACCTCCCAATGCGACCAATTATGTAAGTGTATTAATGTAAGTGCGTTTGTACATGTATATTTGGGGGTCTGAAATGGACTAATCTACTTCACAATATTCCTTATGGGAACAAATTCGGTCAGTACTGGCACCTGAACATACTTCTGGAATGAAAAAATATCGTTAACCGGGGGTCCACTGTATATATATACAGTGGTCCCTCGCTTTTCGTAGTTCTCGGCAATCGTAAATTTCGCCAATCATAGGGGTATTTTCGTATAAACATGGACTCGCTTTTCATAGGTTGACTCGCGAATAGTAGTTCGTCCGGGACGCGTATGCACAGTGTGAGGCGGGGCGGCCTCCCTACCCAGCCAGTCTGGCATTGTTTACCAGTGAGAGAAGGTCCCCTCAAATGCTCCTACGAAATATTTCATAATACTCCACTCATTTTAGTGCTTGCAAGTACTAAATAAGCTACCATGGCTCCAAAGAAAGCTCCTAGTGCCAAGCCCTGTGGTAAAGAAGGTGAGAAATATGTACAGTGACAAAGTCTTGGGTCATTTTAGGGAAGTGTTAAAGAGACGCCAGAAACAGAGCTCTCTCCACAGTTACTTTGCGAGACAGGACTAGAGTGACTCTCAAGGTGGTCCAAGTGGCATTAAGAAACAGAGAAGAGAAGCAACCCCAGAGAAGCAATTGGTACCTGAGGTGTTGCTGGAAGGGGATTCCCCTTCCAAACTGTAAACAATCCAATCTCTCCTCCTCCAGTTTCCCATACACTAAGAAGAATCTCCAATAAAGGTAAGTGTACGCTGTTAATGTTTCATTCATCATTTCCCATTGTATTGTTTATGTACTACATGTATATTTCATGTAAAAAATTTTTTTGTTTTAATACTTCTGGGTGTCAGGAACGGATTAATTGTATTTACATTATTTCTTATGGGGAAAATTGATTCGCAAATCGTAAATTTCGTTTATAGTAACGGATTAATTACGAAAAACGAGGGACCACTGTTGTTGAAAAAAAACACACACACACACACACACCCTGATGAGTTCCTTGTTGTTTATGAATATCAAATCCTTGGTATTCTCATTTCTAGTGGGATCAGTTATCTGTTGGTTCAATGAGTACTTTTCACAAAGCCTCATTAGTTACCTGGTATGTACTTGTTGAGCCAGGGTGCTTCCAGGAGTAATTTCTGGTATGTATAATGTTGTGTTGAGCCATCTTCCATTTTACATGTGGGAGATTAAAATCTCCAAGGAGTATAATATTTCTAGCCTATCCAGACAGCTATCTATCTTCCTTAATGATCTGCAAATTCCTCAGCAGTTGCTGACAGTAATTTATATACTAGGATAATTACCATATTCCTATTTCAAACTTTAATACCCAGAATTTCTACTGTATCTTTCGCAGAATTCAGCAGTTCTGAGCAGCAGAAAGTCTCTTTCCCACACAGTCCTACTCCCTGTGACCTATTAATTCTATCACATCTATACATGTTGTAGCTTTCTATCTTTACTTCTCCATCCAAAACATCCCTTGTGTGTGTTTCTGTAAATGTTCCGACATGGCATTTGCTTCTGAGAGGAGCCCACTAATGTAACTGTCAAGCTCATTACTACAAGTTAATATGAGTGCAGTAAGCATGCAAAATGGTTTAGTTTGTAATGTATAAGCCCAATTATGTATTCTTATGCCCAACTCAACATGCCAACTATACAATAATTCTTATCCGATGAAGTGGCAACAAGAGCAGATGCAATTATCCCAGCAGATTTCTATTTTGAATAAATGCCATTATAATTAATTTAAAAGTGCAATTACTGGCAAAGGCTTCTCTAGGGTGCTTCACAAACGTGTTTACTCTAAAATGAGTACACCTTTCACAGAGGGGTGAGGTGCTTTTGTTTATATTGATGAAGCTCATGCAGGTCATGAAATCTAATTTGTGTCACATTAAACTGATGTCTTTGTTTACAGTATTTACTGAATTTAAGCAAAAATATAAAATTATAATATTGTAAAACTGGTGAAGTGCCATTTTGCATACCTTGAGAGTTTGGCTCTGGTAGATTTTCTCTGGGAACAAGATGCATGACACAAGTCTTGCCAGCAGGAAGGCCCAGAGCCCCTAACGTTACATTTCCATGAAGAAATCGTCCTTGATATATTAGACGTAAGATTTCTGCCTTACTGACGCTTTCATCTACCCATTCTGTAAAAAAGAATGATTTATAAATAATAAAGGAGACAATACCATAGCTGGAACAATTCACAAATAACAAATTTTGGTCTGTCCTAGAACATTGTCAAGTTGCAAATGAGAGAGAAATGAGAGAACCAGAAGGCAGGTCAATAAGATGGAGAGGGTAGAATAGACCAATGATGGTAATAGTAGTACTTGTGTAGAAGTAATAGTAGAGAGCAGCTGTTAGAGCTAGGTCCTCAAAGTCCAATATATATACCACAGCACAGTTAATTAGAAGCTTACCTTATACCTTTGATAAGTTTCGAGTCTTACTACTCTCGGAGCCCTGTCATGGGCCAGGCCTGTCTTGAGGAATTTGACATGAGGAGCTTATCAAGTTCTTTTTTGAACACAGCCAAGGACCTGCTGGTAATTCCCCTTAGTAATTCTCTCTCCCACATTCCAGGGAGTACAATCAAGTGACTTCTGATGTTCCCAATAATTCAGGGGCTTTACTGAATTGATACATGCAGTGAGCATTCTTAGTACATTCTCTAGGTTTGCAATTTTGCCAGCCTTAAAGGGGCTGTTAACGTACAGCAATATTCCAGCCTCGAGAGAACAAGTGACTGATGCAACACTGGCTTGACATGTCTTGTTACATCCTATCATTTGCCTTGCATTTATGATCCTTCAATGAGAGATCTATTACTCTTGATTCTTAGCATTAGTTTTCATATACATGTAGTTGTGAATTTGAATTAGTTTTATACTCTGTTTTAGTTTTTATTTCCTCCACTTTTCCTATAAAAGAACAACTGAAATTTGTCCTCAATGAAAATCTTGTTAGTTTTCTGTGGCCCACTGAAAGACTTGGTTTGTCTACTTGGAGATTTGCACTGTCTTCCATAGATGACACTCTCATGCAAATTCTAGTGTCATTTGAAAAGGATGATATGGTGCTATATGATTTATGGCAGTCTGCATCAGATATGTGGAAAAGGTTGGAGAACAAGCGCTGTCAGTGAAGCAGCCTCTGGCTTAATGCTATTTACTATTACTCTTTGCATTCTAAGTTAAAAACCCAGTTGTCCATTTTTCCAGTTATTCCTTCTGTACTGCACACATTTTGTGTGCTATTACACCATGCTGATGCTTATGAAAGACCTTGGCAAAGTCTACGTACACTACATGATTTGTTTTTGTCTTCTTGTGCATCTAAGACTGTCATAAATAGTTGTTGGAGGCAGGAGTGGCCTACTCTAAATCCATTCTGCCTCAAGTTATGCAAGATTTTTATAATGTTCCCACATTATAAAATATAAGTGTTGAAGACAGTTAACTCAGATTACAACCCAGTCTAATTTCAGACCTTCATGCACACGGGACCTGAGCAGCAAAACATAAATAGCTATGAGGATGTTTTCACCAAATTTAACTTTAACTAGAACATCAATTGGATCAAATAAATCAGGTCTTTAATGAAACATGTTGGGAACATATATTGATCAAGATGGATTCGAATCAGTGTCACAGAGGATAAACTTTGTCAGTGTTATCAGTCTGTCAGTCTTTGCTATTGCATTGCTGCCACCCTCATGGAATGGAGCTATACCCATTGTTTTTAATGACTGTGGGATGACCCCCTTCTCTAGGCTCCCTCTCCACAGAATATTTAAGGTTTGTGATAGGGTTTTCTTGAAGCTTTTGATGCATATGGAGTTTCATGAATCTGGGCCTGAGGAAGAGTGTATGGACATGCTGTCCATGGCTTTTTCAAAGTCAAATAGGGTTGGGGTTACATTGGAAATTTTGGAGATGTTGACAAAGTTTTAAGTCTTATTCATGAAGAATTCATTTTGACTGTCAACCTTTGGTTTGATTAACAGCTCACTTAACATCAATATGTAGCTCATTTCTTTGCTATCATCAGTGTAAGTACCATCTTTGAGTAAAGACCTGATTCTGAATCTGGTTTTTGCCCTTCTGGACTGCTTTCAATTTCATTAATTGCTTTTAACTCTTTCTGTCTGTCCCGGACTCTGTATGATTTATTCAATTTATGTTCAGTATCTATTTCTCTAGCTAGTGTTGCCTGAAAGCCTAGCACCCCTGAGAAGTTTCGTGATTTTTCGTCTCTCACATCTCTCTTTTCTTAGTCACGTGTGCCTTTAGCACATTTATAGTGCCAAAGTTTATCCTCATGACACTGACTTGAATCCATCTTGATCAATATATCTTCCCAACATGTTTCATTAAAGACTTGATTTATTTGATCCCAGTTGATGTTCTAGTTAAAGTTAAATTTGGTGAAAACATCCTCATAACTATTTGTGTTTTGCTGCTCAGGTCCCGTGTGAATGAAGGTCTGAAATTAGACTGGGTTGTAATCTGAGTTAACAGTCTTCAACACTTATATTTCATACCAGATCATCATTGTTCATGATATAAGGTCAAGAGTATTTTCTAGTCTTATTGGTTTTACTATCTGCTGGTTTAAAGGGAATCTACTACAGAGATTTAATAGTTTATTTGTGGAAAACTTTTCATCAAAATTGGCTCCTGTTACTCTCTCTTCTGTTACAATATTTCCTTCCACTTTAGATGTCTAAGGTAAAGTCACCACATGCACTCTTCCACTTTAGATGTCTAAGGTAAAGTCACCACATGCACTCTTCCACTTTAGATGTCTCTAAGGTGAAGTCACTACACAACAGGACATTTAGTGCCGAGTTTAGAAATTTTCCAGGCGTAACTATTTTTCAATGGCTGATCTTCAAACTGCTAAGAAATTACATCTGGTGGTTTATATACAAGTACAAAAACTAGATTCTAGTTTTTAATCTTTACTACTAAGACTTCTACTACATCATCTATGCCGTTTAGTAACTCACTGCAAGTGAATGACACAGACCAGATTCCCCTTGTTGCCTATTTTTCTAGGATTGTATCCAGGTATCCATATTTCATTGTTAAAGT